AGGAGGATACACCCGAGCACTGTCTCAGGCCAGGCCTCGAGAGGAAGCACAGCATGAGCCACAGGACGCCAGGCCACGCTGCTCATCAGCCCACCACCCAGCGCTCCAAGCCACCTTGGTCCCTTCCTGGCTGGGTCAGGCATCAAGTGTTCTGGGTTTATCTTGTCTATCTCCTCTCTCTCTCTCTTAAATAGAACCCAGTCACCCAGAAAGAGTGAAACAAAACTCACTTTTCTGTTTCATTAGGTTTAGGGCAAGGGAAAACAATTCAAATTCTACATCCCCTGGTTTCTAGGACTCTTGTTTACTATCAAGAAACAAGTGATGCATGGAAACCTAAGAGTCAGGTGTGAAATAGCTATTATTATTAATAGTTATTATTATTATTATGAATAATAATAGCCACAATTTACTGAGTACTAACTCTATTGAAGGCACTGTACTAGGTGTTCAGCTATATTATCTTAAATCTTCACAGCAATTCAAAAAAGTAGGTGGTATCAGGGTGCCTATTTAACAGGGGGAAATTAAAGCTCAGGGAGCTGATTCCAAAGCTCATGCTCTTCTCAAAACATTACCCTGCCTCTGCTCTATTTTCTAAGCCTTTCCACAGCCCTTATTGCATGCATACTGGAGGCGAGGCCTGGAATCCAAACGTCAATATCTGAATTACCATCCTCTATCACTTCGCCTTCTAGAATGTACCTGAGGCATGAGCAAATTCTCTTCCACAGAGGTCACACGTCACTGGAAGCCTCTTCTTCTTCTTCTTGGGGACGTCAGGCTCTCCACCTGTACCATGGGCCTCCAGCTGATGTTTCTCCAGCTCTTTCTTAGAGTCCTTGGTCTCATTACACTCCTTACACTGCACCTGTTTGCTCTTGGCCACCCGACAGCGCTTCATGTGCACCTTGAGGCGGCAGTAGAAATGGAAGCTCTTGTCGCAGGCCTTACAGACGAAGCTCTTCTTGGCAGAGTCTGGGGAGGCAGAAGTATCTTTCTCTTGTTGTTCTGGCAAGGAACCAGTCTCTCCTTGACCGTTCTGTTTCCCAGGCTGGCAGTTTTCTTCAGCTGGCTCAGCTGCCTTTTCATCTGCTTTGTCCTTGGCTTCAAGGTGAAATTTATTACTCACCATCCACCTTTCCTTCTCTCCCTTTTCCTCAGTAAGGAAACCTGCACAGGAGAGAGATCTGATGGCTCTGGGAATTTCCTATGTTTCTACTTTGCTTTCTAACTTTCCTTCTTAGGGGAGAATGGAGACTACTGGGGACTGTCATCTTTACTCTCTGATAAACACAGATAGCATCATTTTACATCTATGTCTATGACTTTTCTAAGTATTTGAGAGCATATAAAATAAAGCAGCGATGGGTGAACTCTTAAATGAACTGCTGCCTCTTCTCTCCAATAAGGAAACAACCTGGGGGCCTAAGAGGACCCCACCCACCCTGTTTCTTACCGGCATATGCCAACTCCTGCATGACAGGCTGCAGGCCTGGGAAAGATCTGTGGATGCTGCACAGGAGCTGACATATTTCAATGGCCGAGATGGTTTTTTCCATGGCTCTGCTCAGCAATGCTCTCAGGGAAGCTTCAGGGCTGGCTGTCTCAGAGGAAATGCTCAGAATCTAAATGAATACCATGAGACAAAGGTTTGCGGTTAGTATCAGCAGATTTTCTCCATGGTTTTCAACGTAGAAAACAAAGCTAATTTCAGGGAGGCATCGCTCCATCTGTAACAAGTATACATTTCGTGCCATAAATATAGTGGAGAGCCTTCTTTCTCCAAGAATAGGGAAATTAACAAAATTTTAACAAGGAGGCACATATGAAGACAAATATGCAAATATAAAGGTGCAAGCAAGGAAGCATTGAGGATTTTCTGTGAGAAGTATCTTCTCAGAAACCAGGAGTCTCCCAAAGAACTTTTCTAGAGCTTAGTATTATATGCTTGGAAAGCTATAGGACTTGGTTGTTGGCATTTCTGTCTTGATGATCAAGATAATTTTTTGTAATATATAACTGTTTCAATGTTGGGAAGTAATTCTGCATGATCAGTGGCTTCACGTTTTTAGATACTTAGGTGTACCCTTTTAAACATCATTTTCTTTCATAAAGAAACTCAGGGTTTTTTTTTTTTTTTTGCGGTACGCGGGCCTCTCCCTGCTGTGGCCTCTCCCCTTGCGGAGCACAGGCTCTGGACGCACAGGCTCAGCGGCCATGGCTCACGGGCCCAGCCGCTCTGCGGCATGTGGGATCTTCCCGGACCGGGGCACGAACCCGTGTCCCCTGCATTGGCAGGCGGACTCTCAACCACTGCGCCCCCAGGGAAGCCCGAAACTCAGGTTTTTTTTTTTTTTTTAAACAGATTTTTCTTTTTTTTTTTTTTAGTTTATTAATTAATTAATTAATTTTTGCTGTGTTGGGTCTTCGTTTCTGTGCGAGGGCTTTCTCTAGTTGTGGCAAGCGGGGGCCACTCTTCATCACGGTGCGCGGGCCTCTCACTATCGCGGCCTCTGTTGGAGCACAGGCTCCAGACGCGCAGGCTCAGTAGTTGTGGCTCACAGTCCTAGTTGCTCCGTGGCATGTGGGATCCTCCCAGACCAGGGCTCGAACCCGTGTCCCCTGCATTAGCAGGCAGATTCTCAACCACTTCACCACCAGGGAAGCCTGAAACTCAGGTTTTTAAAGAAGGTTCAAATAGGGGCTTTAAAGAGGCCAAGAATATTATTTCAAAGCCATCCTCGCAGAATGTTACAGCTATCAGCAGAAAAGAGTCAGTACACTGAGAAAATAAAGCTAAACCATCCACAGATGGCCAAATGGAATTTTCATTTTGGAAGATATTTTATTTCTGCTCTTTTCAAGTCTATCTAAATAAACCTGATGTCCCTGGAGGCAGGCTTGAGACTAATTAGTGAGGCTAAAACTGATCAACGCCAGAAGCCCCATCTCTGAAGTGCGAGGCATGCTGGAGAAAGTCTAGCAGGTGAATCTCTCCTCTGAAGCCCCACAGAAATGTGTGCCATCTTCTGCCCATCTGAGAGTCAGACCAAGGTGGGGCTGTCACCTGTGTGGACAGTTAGGACAGCCTTTCTACACACCATCCATGCCTACTTGGATCAAAAAGCACGGCAGGTGAATCTGTATTTTAATTTTATGCTCCTTTATAATTCTTTCCCACTCAAGATGCACATGATCCTGGGATGAACATCCGTGAATTCCCCCTGCAATCCCCACCTGGTTTTTCTGGGATGCTGGCCACACTGTGAGAAGCCTTACAGAAAATGAGTTGGCACTATTTGTTACCCCATATGGGCAAAAGCTTTGTTCTTTCTATGTTTGTTTTGGCTCTTTCTAGAAGCCAGAATAGAGCATGTAATAAGACCAATTTTACTTTTCTTCCTCTGAAAAAAGCTGCTTCTTACAACATGTGAGAGACCAGTATCATGGTTCCCTTTGAGTTTTCCTAGGTTTAAACAAATGGAATAAATCTGGGTTTGAGTCACTTGAACCTGAGTTCCAGTCCTGGCTGCTTCTATGACTAGCTAGTACATCCTAGAAACATCATTGACCCCTCAGAGCACGAGCTCCCTTATCTGTAAAATGTGGGTGGCATCACCTGTCACCCAGAGTTGGGAGGATTATAAGAGCAAAAGCATGACAAGTGTTGTTTAGCCTGGGCCTGCCCGTAGCAGGTGCTCCAAGGAGCTGGTTCCTCCCTTAGGAGCGAAGACAGTCCCGGGCATCAATGCTGTAAAACTCCCCCAAACACTGTGTTGTTATCCCCACCACACCTCTTTCACAGTCTCTGCCAGGCGCTCTTCCTCTGAGGCCAAGCACTTGAGTTCAGCCCTTTGCTGGATGGCCTCTAGGATCAACCTGTGATGCCTCAGGATGGTTTCGAAGGCAGCACTTTCTGGGGTCATCACTGAACAAAGAGGGATTGAAAACTCATTAGTACAACTATGAGCACCATTTTTCCCTTTCATCTTTTCTCAACTCAGTTCTTCATAATGAGAATATACTTCATCTATCTCCCACCTGGAGTTGGGAGTGAAGAAGATGGCAAACATCACTGTAATCAGAGTATAATTAATATAAGCTTAGAAGAACTGCTGCACATTTTACTTTGAAAGGTTTACAAACTCCCATGTCCTTGAACAAAATTGCCAGTCCTTACTTCTACTGGTCAGGATGTGGAAGACTACTGTAAGAGAGCTCTGTTTTCTTGCAAAGACTGACAATAATCTCTGGTGGGGGCAAAGCCAGCACAGAGGCCAGGCAACCTACCTGTCCGGAAGTAAGCATCTGCGCCAGGCTCCCTTCGTATTTCCTCCGTGAGCAGGTTCAATGGGCAGGACTTTGTCTCCTGAGCCACCAGCAGCAGTTGCCAAATGGCTGCTGCAGAGAGAGTCTGCTCTTCTAGAACTGCTGACATCAGAGAACTGAAACCACCTGAACCAGAGTCACGTTTCACAAGCTTCTCCATGACCTTGAAGATGCAGCACAAACATACACATAAGGGACTTTCTAGCCACTGGCCCAGCTGCAGAGCTGCAAGTCTGAGCACTAGATTGTAGTGAACGTATTTCTGGGGAGGAGTTTTTCAACATCCTTCACTTCTTTCAACCTGAGAGATGTTTACACACGAGAAGGTTCTTCATTCCTCCTTTTGAATGCTTTTCCTTATCACTGCAGAAATTACAACTCTCCTACTTGTCACTCTGTCTTAGAAATTGAATCACCTACTATCTCCTTCTCTGCTGACCCCTTAGCATTTCTCAACATGGCTGCGTGTGTGTATGTTTATATAAAATAGAAATACATTAAAAAAATATATATATGTTAATCTTTTTTCCTTCTTTCTCAATTTTGCCCACCCTTCCTCCCTTTCTCTCTTACCTCTCTTTCTCCAGGGGCTAAACTCTTCACATGTGGGATCATTTTTTGTAACATCTGGTTGTCTGTGAAAATCTCTGAGAGGTTTTCGTGATACCGCCTCAATAGTTCAATCCCATAATCATCAGGGCTTGCTTGGACTGTAAGGATATTAGCAAAACAACAACAACAAAACCTCCTTAAGGCCTTTTCTACACGACATGAGGGGAGTTACAAATGCGGACAGAAGAACAGATCAGCACAGCAGCTCTGTCTCTTCTGGAGCACAAGTGCAGCTCGTGGCTTGGGGCCTCACACACGTGTGCTCACGTCTCCTCTGGTCTACACTTAATCACTCAGTGTTGCAGGGTCACAAAACCACCAACACTTTGAAAGTTAGCGCCCAGTGGTAGAAGCTAGTGATTGCTCAACCAGGGGGTAATTAGAAGGCTGCACTTGTAAGAGGTGCAGATGTAGAGATTCAAGGGATGTTACCTACCAGGCCTGAGGTAAAGGATCCATGCAGCGATCCAAAGTACAGGCAGGCACGAGTCAGGACGGCGGTAGGAAAGCTGACCCATTGTTCTTCTGTTTATATGCCCTCTCAGCCAATCTGTTAGTTACTCTCTTTTAAGAGGTTATATTTATTTGAAAGTAAAGAAAAATCAAAACTATCAGGCATTCTCATTAGCTTTGTAGATATTTAAAAATTTATTTTCCTCTCTGGCTCAGTAACTCCACTTCTGGGAATCTAGCCTTAAGAAATGATCTGAAGGCAAAAAAAAAAAATCTGTGTACAAAGATATTTGCTACTGAGAAGCTTGTGATGATGATGATAACAACTAATATTTACTGAGTGCATATTATATTATGTGCTGAGCACTGTGCTCCATGTTTACATATATTATCTCATAATAGCCACAAAAATGAAGGTGGAAGGTACCATTCTTACCACCATCTCACAGGGGAGACAATGAGGTTCAGAAGGGTTAAGTCACTTACTCAGGGTCACAGAGCTACCAAAGAAGTCAGGATGCAAATCCCAGTAACCTTGATAGTCTTAATCATTATGCTACATGTGCCCCTAGACAAGGGCATGAGTAAGACAGCATAAGTATACTTATGATAGAAACTACATAGCCTTAAAAAAATAGAATAGAATTCTAGGGAGTGTTCTGAAATGTGGAGGAGAATGTTTATGTTATATTGATAAGTGGGGGAAATGGTAAAATATGGTAGAGTATCTCAACATTGTAAAAATAATGTGATAGATAAAATATGTCAATGTGTTTAATACTGAAATTATCACGTGGTGGGATTTGAGGTTTTCTTCTTTATTTTTTAAACTGTTCAAGTTTGTATAAGTATATATTATTCTTACAAGCTAGTTAGAAAGTTCTCTCATTTCCCAAATAGACTTCTTCTGAAAACCATTTCATTCTCAAACGTTCTGGGATGGGGGATGATTGGCTAGAGTTGGGTTGTTTTTCTAAGGGATAGTCCCAAACTGGTTGGACACAAGGGGTGGTTAATCCTGGGCACTGCTGGGACCGAACAGCACTCCAGTGGGAGTGGGGACGTCAGGACCTGAGTTCCTGCTGCTCACACGTGTGAGCGCTGAGTCCATCTGCTCCACAGGCGTTCACAGGTGGCTTGTGACAGCCCCGGGAAAGCCACACTTTTAGACCCTGAACCACGGGAACATCACGGGGCAGCTTAATGGAGAAGAAATTCTTAGATTTCCGATCCTAACTCCAGAGATATCAAGAATCACTGATTTGTGACAGCTAGTTTCTCTTTCACAATGGCCTTTCTTAACATTGTCTTATCTCCCCCCCCAGCAAGGAGCCAAAAGGGTGTTTTAAGCTATAATTTTCTGTAGGAGTGGTTCCAGTCCAGAGAGTCAATAATTAACTAATACCTGTGGTGCTCGGCAAAGCAGCTAATTTCTGCAAATTCTCCAGCAGAAGGCCCAAGTTTGGGAATGTCGTCTTCACAGCCTGAAGGAGTTTTACCAAACTCTCAGCGCTCAGGGTCTTCTCTTGAGTCATTCTGTGCAACAAATTTTCTATTGTCTCCTTGGGTGTTCCACCCTCACAGCAATTCAGAATCACCTGCAGTGGCAAGCAATCAACCCGACACTAGTTACTGGAAATTCTAAGTGCATTTGACACACCACTGGGAAGACCAGCAAGACAGCATTACAAGCCGCCCCGACTCCAGGTCCTCTTCTGCTTGTCTCTAGCGCTAGTTTTGTCGTAGTCTCTTCCTTATTCTGTTTCAATAAAAATCCAAAACATTCTCCAAACAAACAGCTCCATGAAGCTTTCTTTCTCAGTTGCGGGTCTGTGCATATTCTTTGCCTCTGACAGTTGGCATTTTGTGAAAATATTCTTACGCTAGGCCTATACGATAGAGCAAGCAGCTTACATCTAAGCTTTAGATTGAGTTTGTTCAGACACTAAGATTGCAAAACTGACTGGCAATTAGTAAATACAGTTACAGTGTTTTTCATCTCTGTTCAGTCAAGTACATGACAGAGGCAGAGGCTGCAAGTTCAGAGCAATTCTATTACTTTACTTCCTTTTACTTTATTTGCATTGCAATTTGAATACCCGGATACTTCATACATTTGTCTGTGGCCTCCAAAATAATAGATTTAAAGTGCACTTCAGGATCATTTTTCTAGCAGATTCCTCATTATCTAGCCCTCTCCTCCCCAGTGGCCACATGCACCAGCTCCAGTCATCATCCCACAGTTCTACCCACTTGTTCTTCCCTGGTATGCTAGAGGGTTTTCTGAGTCAAGAGGGCACAGGCCTCCAGCAAAAGGTTGAAAAGTCAAACAGCTGACAGTTATTTTAAAGATATTTTCCAATTACAATCGAACTAGCCTTAATGGACTGCAACTAAATATGTATAACTCGGCTCTTGTGGATAATGCAGTGGATTATTTCAGTACATGTAATCTACAGGTTCACAGTAACTGAATTTTGAACTTTCCTTTGAGAAAATGCCAGCTCTCCGGAGAAAGAGTCAAGCAGATGGTCACGGTAGCATGCCAGAGGACGCTATTATCAAATTACTTCTGTTTTAAAATAATAAATTTAGCTATAAAACCAAATTGGTTTTATATATGTAAAAGAAATATCTATATTACATATATGAAAGGCATGTGTATATTATAAATTAAGTTGTCACATACCTTGTCCATACAGAATATAGTCTTTCTCTTTGTTTAAGGTCTAATATATATTAGATTTCTACTAAATGAGCTATAATTTAAAACTTAAGGGCTTGTATCTAAAAATCGTACTGATTTTTGTGCTATCTCTTAGCTCGTAAACAATAACCTGAGACAAAACGAGGCAGCCAGATACTGTAAAGAGTGGGTATGAACTTTAAAGCCAGACAGGCCTAGTCTGAAACCCAGTTCTAAAATGTATGGCCTGTGTGACCTTGGGCAAGTTATTTAAGTCTTTAAACCTTATTCTTCTCATCTGCAAAAGAAGATAACAGTACCAACTCTTGCACTGTCAGTATGATAATTCTCTAAAATGAAGTTGCCATTTGTAGAGCCGAGCAAAACTCCTAGGACATATGTGATTGTTAATAAATGATAGTAGTTATTGATATCATTAGGAAGCAGGATGCACAGTGGGTAAGAGATGTGCTTTGTTTAGAAGTCTGGGTTTCAATGCTGGCCCCAAGCAGCTGTGCCTTTGGGTACGCTGCTTACCATTCTTAGCTTCTGTTTCTTCATCTTTAAAGTTAGGGTATTAACCATAACTTCATAAAGTTGCTGCGGGGGTAGAATTTAGTAATGCTTTAAAGGTCCTCAGTACATTACTTGGCACACAGTAAACAATAAATAAATAAATAAATGGCAGCTATAGCAATTACTATTCTTGTATCTGTTTCCAATCCTGAAGTGAAAATATGCCTATTTACCCCCAGAACCCAAGGTAGGGCAATTTGGCAATATATATCAAACACTTGAAAAATTTTACTCTCTATTCCAAAATCTCACTTCTTAGAAATTATCCTGAGAAAATAATCTGAGAAGTATGCAACAATTTGTGTGTAAAATGTTCCCCTGTAACATTATTTATAATAGCAAAATATGGAATAGCAAAAACTAAGAAACAAATGCCCCAAAATAATTAATGAATTATGGTATATCCATTAGACAATACAATGCAGCTACCAAAATCCATATGTAGGTATGGAAATATATTCACAATATATTCAATTAAAGAATAAAGTTACAAAGCTATATGATAATCCCATCCCAGGATGATTCAAACGAGAAAAAGTGGGAGCACGTGTTCCAAAATGTTAGTAGTGATCATCTCTGGGTGGTGAGATGGTGGAAGATTTGGACTTTTTTCTTTCTGCTTGTTTTCCCAATTTTCTAAAGATGAACAGTGTATCATTTCTGTAAAAAGTGTCATAACAATTAGAAATGTGCCTAAACACTTTAACTCTTGGGGCAAATGTTTTATATCAAAATCCCACGGAGTCAGAGCAGGAATAGCCATCCATCCATGCATCTAAAGATGTAATGTCTGACTATAGTATGCAAGGCACTCAGCAAGCTGGTGCAGGGGATACATGGAGGTATGAAGCAAGAACCTGAGCTTCAAGGTGCTTACTATGTAGTATGTGAAGAAATACTGCAAGGTAAAAAGTGCTCGGTGTCACAAAAGAGGTTTAAAACAAAGTGCTGCAGAAAGGAGGAAGAGATACTCGACAGTTACCCTTTTCTCAGAGCCAGTCAGGAATTCCTCCTCGCCCGTTTCCAGGAACTCCAAAATAGGTCTCAGCTGTGTTACACACCGGATCAGGTCCTCTTTGTGTTCTAGTAACAGAACAGACAAGGTCTTTCCCTCCTCTGTGCTCCCTGGGGGAGAAAGAGCTAGAGACGAACAAGAGAAGCTCGTGAATTTGAAGAAAATGACAGCATAGTTTGTCAAGGCATATCTAACAGAATAGTAAAGTGATTCTCAGCCAATTCTGAGCACCCGAATGCAGAATCTCTTTTTGGAGAGGAAAATGCTTTATTATTCTGTTTAAACTCTATGAAAGGAAAACTGTTTCATGTGTCTGTCGAAACACAAAGCTGTAGAGCCAGCCAAAGGTTAACCTCTGGTTGGCAAGGCCACTGCTTTGTACCTAACCCAAACGAGAGAAACTTCAGCCTTTTAAGTGCTGTCAGCAAACCAGTTCACCGTGGGCACTCAAAACACTGATTTGGATGTGTGGCTTTCTGAAGGGCAGGAGAACACTGATGGTATTCTCCAACTCCAAGGCGTCAGATTAGTTAACGAGGGGGTAGAAATGAAGACTCAAATTCAGTTTGTATATATTAACATGCAGTCTCTTGAACTACAGGTAGAATTTATGTGAAAATCACTTTAACAATAACTAAGCCATTGAAGAAATGCATCCCTGGAGCAAGCTTTGCAGCATCTTCCCAGAATAAAGTTCAGTCACTCAGGTGCATAAAGTTTCTCGTACCTTCTGGCTGCACTGCTTCTATAGCCTCTGGCTGTCCGTCTAACAGTGTCGTCTTTACCGCAGGATTAGAATCTTGGAACAGCCTCAACAGGGACACGACAGTCTGAACTTCCAGGCTCTCACTTCTTACTTTACCCAGGATTCTCTGGAACGCCGACTGGCCTTCTTCACCCACAAGACATCCCATTATGGTCTGTAGAACACAAGTGCCCAGGAAGACAAATTAGCCACAGCCACAAGAACTCCACGCTCCTTGGATTTGGCAAGTGGGCCCTCAACAGTTTGATCCCCACCTACTTGACCTTTCTATGGCATTTGACGGTACTATCACCTCTGCAGCACAATTCTCCTCTGACTTCTTGACACTGAAGCATTTTGGGTAAGAACTCACTTTTCTGACTACTCTTTTTCTGCCTTCCTCACTGGCTCTTCTTCCAAATCCATAAGCAAAAGCAGTACCTAGGACTGGTTTCAACTCTTTTTCTCACTTTATATACTCTCCTTTTGAAAAGCTCTCACACATATAGCTTTAACTATCACCTTTATGAAGACAACCCTGAAAACCAGTGCACTAATCCTGAACTCTGTCTCAGTCCAGAGCCACAGTGTCTGTTAGATGTGCCTTATCCTCCAGGGGTCTCAGCACCACATGCCTAAAACCCAACTCCCTTCATGACTTTTCAAAACCTAGAGCATTCAAATATCAACAACTCCAGGGGTAAAATAAACAACATTAGCTTTCCTTTCTTCGGTCTGACAGGGCATCTCTCACACAAATGGGAGGAATGCCAACTGGAAGGCAGAATTAATATCTCTATTTCAGCAATAATGAAAAATCTGGTAATCAAAACTTAATTTCATGAGTATAGTCTGATGTATAATCTTTATATTTCTACTTGGCAAAACTACAACTTACCCCTGATGTTTTTTAGTGTCGATACTATAAAAGAAAATATTTTCTCATGAGAGTCTTTAGAGAGCAAAAAGGTTTTCTAGACACAGACATGCACACACAGCCACATACACAACACAAAAGGATCTCTTGAACATGTACACTGGCAAAGTTCACCTAGACAGTTATTATATATTCTGACAGTAATTATATGTTTAAAATTGTTGTTTAGAGGGACTTTATCTCCTTCTCTCCTCCCAAATAAACAGGATTATAAATGAGTTAGACTTTGTGTTTCTTGAGTTTGTTCTAGCTTGTTTCCTGATCAGAGCTAAGTTAAACTAAAAAAAAAGGTTCCTATGAATTTTGGTCATCTCCAAAAGTAAACATAGATAAAACACAATTTAATAATCCTTATTAAGTTTTTACTGGAATAAGTAACTTCCATGAACATAAGATAAACTCATTTTGTCTCTATTTTAAAAATCATAAACAAATGAGATAAAAATGTAAGTTGAATGCTTAATTCTCTTTGGTCACATTTATTCATCCTTTCTTGCTTTTATCAGTTGGCCTAAAATCTCTTTAGAATGCCTCTTCCCTGACAGCAGTAGGGACCTGAGGTAGGCAGCCTGGGGTTCCCAGTATGCCTCCAGGTTTTCATGCCCTTGAGCTGAACCTAATGACTTGCTTCTAAGGAAA